TACATCTGTCCTCCATGTGGTATTCAGAGCAGACCTTCTAGAATGCATAAGCAGATCAGATCAAAACCCTGGCTGAAAACTTTCATGGGCCATTCAGATCACTGCCTCAACATATGCAGAAACTGCATCAAGTTTAATTGTCCTTGTTGGATTTCCTGGTGCACTATGTACACATGCCTACTTCAGTGGTTTTGCACAAGGCATATCTTTTATCTGGAAAGCTGTTGCTGGGTTATTTTCATAAATTCCCCTGATAGTTTAGCATTTAGCTTAAATATTATCTTTCAAATTTACTTTGGTAACTTTTCCTTGTGTTCTGTTCAACATGACTCCAGGTCATTTGTTATCTAAGCATTTTACACATATTATATATGTATATGTGTGTATATATGTGTGTGTGTGTGTGTGTGTGTGTGTGTAAGTTAATCTTTATTCACTACCATATAGGTAACTGTATATTGAGTGAACGAATGACTCATAAACCTATCAGTCATGTCTCCGCTCCCCCTTACTTCTCTTTGGCCTATTTTCTAATTGTAGGAATGTGAGTCACTATAACAAACACAAGCAGAAATTTCATGGCCTGATTGTCTGCCTGTGCTAGCACCTTGCCATCCTATAGATGCTATTTCTGCCATCTTTCCAGATATTACAGTGATCTTCTCATATGTGAGCTCAGTAGCAGTGTAGACACAACATTACTTGGCAATTGGCACCACCTTTTACAGCGTGGAAAAGAGTGAATGGCAGAGTGGAAAACCTAGAAAAGAGGTGACTCCAAGAGCTATGCATTCCTTCAAAGTGATGAGGTGTACTGCCTATACATACTGGTATGCAAAGACACCCATCAGTGTATGTAGGTAAATTTGTGGATCATCACAAGCGGAAGCGAATTGTAAGCATGCAAGTATCAGTTAAGAATCACAGAGACCTTGTGATAACAGGTAATGATCCAGGCAATGAGGCCCACAGAAACAGGAAGTGAGAGTGAAAGGTGCTTAGAGACAAAGATAGGACAATGAAGGCTAGGATGCCTGACAGGATAATGAAGACGCACAAAGGTGTGCAAACCTACGAGTGATTTTCGTCATGCAGAGGTTGTGTTGAATGTGTTACATACAAATGGACCTATAGGAAGAATTTGGACCTTATTTACCTGCCTGAAGCTGACTGATTTTAAGTGTGAAACACATGTGAACTTAGTTGTATTTGAAGAAACCATATTACAAAGGAAATTCACAAGGCATAGTGCCATATTTAGGAGCATAAGCTGAGGTACTTGAATATTGCTAAACTATGATGCAATCATTGAGAAGGTTCTAGAGAGATCCTAAGGAGAAGTAGTAAGAATTCTGCATTTCTAGTTCATACAGAAATGCTAATTCCACTTGTGAAAGTAAAGGACAGGCATGGTGTTATTATGATTAAATCCTTACAACTGTAAAGATATAGAGTGGTACATTAATAATGTTATAGACATGTTTAGCATAAAAAGCAAACAGTTTCGCTAAATTAGCTGTACATTCCAGGCTGCATCTGGATTTCATGCAAGCCTATTAGCTTAGAAAGATAAACAGAAGAATAAACCTTTCACGCTTCTTAGGGTACTCAGATGTTAGCCAGTTTTTGTTGTTCTTGCAGCATTTGTCCCTGGAGAGTGCCAGAATCTTCCAAAGCCTCTTTTAGAAAGGCAGTATGCTGTATTAAAGTAGTAGTTAAGATCACCTGACTTGGGTTATGATAGCTCTTTCCCATGGCTAACAGTCACACTTGCCTCACAAATAACCCAAAAGTATGTTCCCATTTTCCAATGCTCTCAATAGAATGTGCATAGAGTGGACTGCAGAAAAACAGGCTATATAAATTTCAGAAATTCTTCTAGTTGTGGAAGAATCCCTCCCATATTTCTTAAGAAAGTAAGCAAAGATGTTAATATCAGTATAGTTACATGGGGCTGACCTTAAGGATAAGATACATTATCCAACTTTATAGACTATTGGATTTACTAAGAAGTGAGAGTTTATAGGTGAGAGAAAACCAGGAGGACTCTATGAAGGAGTGAAAAAGAAAAGGTCACAGAGAGACCATACTGTTCAAGTCAAAGTAGATAGATTTATTATGTTGTAGGTGGTGAGGTAAATCACAGAAGTGGGCTTGGGCATTTAATCAATCATTTATCCATTGTTATAGAGAACACACTTGGGCTTCATGTTGAGTTAAACAACTGTGTTTAAAAAGCTGTCAGGGTATAAATACTAAATATTACATGATAACTTATATAATAAGTTTCATGATTTTTCTTTACCCAAGGCTTCACGCAAGCTTAGTCAACATTTTATGTCTGAGTTACATCCTCAGCCCAACCTTCATAATTTTCAATTTGTTCAGGACTGCAGATTACTTGTGTTAGACTGAATTCCTGAGTACTCTAAGTTATTTCTAAAGTGTAGTCTTATTTTTTAGAAGAAGTGTTTCATTTTAAATGCTCATAATAAGTTAATTTAGTTTCACAAAAGTTGCCAAGAATTGGGCCTTATTTAATGAACAAGCTTAAAAAAGCTATAATTGCCTTTTAAAATTTTTTCTATACAAATAGGTACTTATAGTTTTATCTAGGTTAAGCATTTCTGTTATATCGTCTTCTCAGGGTGACTGTGGAGGCAAACCCCAAATCAGACTGATTTAGTACAAATTGCATATTTTTACTACTTTCTTGTGACTTATATCATACCTTGCTATGAAACTATTGTTTTCTCCTAAGACCACCGGTCAGAGTGCTGCCAGTAGCTTGAGATCTTGCAGGTATCAGAAGACACTCATGGATAAACATTTTTACAAATAATATGCTATCATCTCATCATACCTCATTGTCCTGGAAAATCCTCTTCTTCTCTTCATGCAAAATCCAGTCTACTGATAAGAAGGGATGCTTTCACTCATCCTCTCCCTCAGAGTATACAGAGCCCCCGTGAAGCTCACACAATACCTAGCACCATCACTGGACATTGAAGCTCCTGCTAGGCCCAGTCCTTTGTGATTGTCTTTTCTTCCTCCTGACAATGGGGCAGCATCACCCAGCAGAAGAGCACAGGGTATGCATAATACGTCTAAGTCTTCCACTACTTGAATCCTCCATTCCTAAGAGCTCACAAGAAGCCTGATAGGGAAAGTCAAATTTGTGCTGGGCTGGGCTGAACAGACAGGTGCTCTTTTCCCTGCAATCCTAGCAGAGAGTTATTGTTGTATCTCTCTTTGACCCCTTACAGTCATCTAACCATTGATAAAAACTCATGAGATTATGTGTTTTCTAATTTAACTAATTGGTTAATGTAACTTTTTTTTTTTTGAGAATGAGTCTCCCTGAGTGCTTCAGACTGGCCTGGAACTCACTATATAGCACTGGCTAGCATGTAAATTCTATTGGTATTTGATTGGTTGATAAAGATTCTCAAACATCTTCCATTTATTTATTTTCTATCTAGTTATTTTTGCAAATATCTTTGGCTCAGCATTTGCATAAAAAAGGAGTTGGTGTAATACTTCTGCGTGTGTACATATGCATTTCAGTATTTACTTGTACATCTGTGGAATAATAATAGCCAGGATGTGCTCTAGAACAGGGAGTTGAGAAGTGCAGCCTCCTCCCATGGAGCTCTTCTGCTTCACAGCTGGGGGAGGGAGCTACCAGAATCACTCTGAAGACCCTTCAGGCATTAGTGTTGGCAGCAACATTTCTTAGGCTTTCTTTGCTATCACAGAAAAATCACTGTAACCCCAAAGTTTGCTGAAACACAGAGCAAAATGAAATCAAGTGTGATTATTTGGGGGGGGGGGCCTGAGGCTCTTGTCGGAAGATAGGTGCAGTGGGTTGCCCAAAGACAGCAATACAAATGACTGCAATTCATTCTGTACCATGTTATATATATTGTTAGGTTTTTGCATGTATAAATGTTTTGTTCAAATAAATAAAATTTAAAAGGAGGCAAAGATGCCTTTGGCTGGTTCAGGCCCATCTTATTTGCATCTTTCTCAGAGCTGAGAAAGATGTCTTGGAGTTTGGGGCTTTTACTTAAATGATTAACAGTGCCTTGCAGAAGGGTATTTTGAAAGGCAAGTGCCAGTGGAACTTGGGTTGCAATAGCAATTTGCCTTTTAAACAGTGATCCTTAATACCAGTTCTCATGTGTGGGAGTGACTGAGGGTTTCCTGGAGAGTGAGGTTGATTTAGGGATCGGGATCAGCTGCTGAGGCTGGCACTTGGAAAAGACAAGCCAAGCATTCACACCCCAGACCACTCAATACCGGCATTGTCTCCAATCCATCTTTCATAAGGGGGTTTCAAGGAGGGGGAGGGGATGAAGAGAAGAGAGAAAATAAACCTTTTGAGTTCCATAATAGAAAGCGCAGGAGAGAGAAGGGTGAACAAGATGTGAGTTTGAGAAGCCATTCACCAAGAATGTTTAGTCTGAAATCAACTTGGCTTTTAATGAGTCCAGTACCAAGTTTCTTCAGTTTTACTTGCCTTAACCCACCTTCAATGCTGGTCCCCCGCCCCCAGGCTCTGGCTCTCTTGCCTGCTCTGGGTTTGTCCAGGTCTGCCTCTGGGCGTCCCACCTCTTGTCCCTTCCTCCCTCCCCCTTTCCTGAGCCCCCACCCCACCACACACACCCCTCTGGGACCTTCTTAAATAGCTTTAAGTCCCTCTTCTACCCTGTCTTGCTCTATACCTCTGAGCTCCACTCCCGTTCTTAAGGAAATCAGGCAGGCCTCAGATGGAGCTGTTGTCCTGACAACCCACAGGCGCATCAGGCTTTCATTGAGGCTGGCTGTTGCTGAAGGGGGCAGTTGTGCAAAGCGAGGGGCCACGCCATGGGGAGGGGGAGGGGATGAAGCGGAGGGGCTGTTGGCAACCAGCAGGGTAGGGGGGATGTGCTGAGTAGAGAGGGAGGTGGGGACTGGAGGCAGAAACAGGAAAGGGAGGAGGGGGAGAGAGACTCCCGGCTGCTTCTGCGGCTGCTGCGTGGCTGTTTCTTTACACTCACTGGCAGACTCGGGCCGGCTCCCTCCCGCCTGGGAAAGTGGGTTACCGAGAGAAGGCGCTCAGCTCCGCGCTGGCGGAGAAGCATCCAGCCACAGAGAGACTAGGGAAGCACCGCTGCATTTGGCAGTCTCCTCTGCATCTTTTAAAGAGGGTTTTTGTTTTTGTTTTTAATCTGTGCAGTCCTTTTACAGATTTTGCTCCATCGACTTTCTCCCTCACCCCGTTTTGGGTTTTTAGGGGGGTTTTCTTAAGTCTTAGAGGGAGTAGAGACTGAGCGAGGGAAAGAGAGAGGCAAAGTGGGCAGGAGCACAAACTGCCACGCTGAGCGCCCCGTCCGTGGAGCCCTCTCCGCGGAGCAGCGCGCCCTCCGGAGCCCAGCGCGGACCGACCTCGGCGTGGCCACCATGGTCGGGCGAGTGCAGCCGGATCGGAAACAGTTGCCGCTGGTCCTACTGAGATTGCTTTGCCTTCTCCCCACAGGACTGCCTGTTCGCAGCGTGGATTTTAACCGAGGCACGGACAACATCACCGTGAGGCAGGGGGACACGGCCATCCTCAGGTAGGGCTTCCGGGCAACTTTTCTGCCGCGTGGGTAGTGTGTGTGTGTGTGTGTGTGTGTGTGTGTGTGTGTGTG